ACAGCCCAGACACATTTAAGGATTTGCCTTAAAGTTCTCTCCCTGATAGCATGGCACTACCTTCCATGGACTCCTCCACTCAAATGTTATTTCTTTACAGAATGGTTTCCTGACCAACTCATCAAAGGTTGTTTTTATTGTAATGTACAAACGCACTGCCATGAATTCAATTCCAACCCATAGCACCCCTATGTCGGGTTTCCCACGGGTGACTCTTAAGGAGCAGACACCCTCCTCTTTCTCCCTGAGAATAGCTGATGGTCTTAAGCCACTGACCTTGTGCTTAGTAGTCCAACACCTGCCCAACAGTGCCACCATGGCTCCTCTATTGTAGCTTATATCATTGTATCTTTCTCTTTTATTGTTTTCACGGTAATATGATTGGGCTTCAAAAGTTGGTGGAAAATGGAAGTAAGAGATAATGAAATATGATCCACAAACTTTTTGAAGCCCCTTTATATGAAGTCTTTATGATTGTGGAGACCATGGATGAAGGCCCAAGACATGATTAGCCCTCAAAAATATTTGGGAGATGAACAAATGTTAATTCGGCAGAAAGCTATAGACTTACACATCTGGACCCATAAGCAGAATACTTAATGTGTCCTTTTATCATGATTCCAAATACACGACGGGCTGCGCTTGACTGAACTGGCTGGCTGCGCCATAACCAGACCGATCAGTGTGATGGAATGGTTGGGAAGGCTGACTTGAGGTTCTTAACTGATCTATTTCACAGGGACCCTGTCCTAAACCCCACTTGCCTTGTTGTTGTTGTTGTTGTTTAACTTGCTTTTGAAAAGTTCCCATTTAATTTTCCAAACAAAATATTCAAGAAGGATTTCATGATACTGAAAAGGCTGTTTTTAGAATTGCTTCGGAAATAATAATGATCCTAATACTGCCCCTACCTCAAATAATCTTTTGCCCCATTTTACTCATAGGAATACTCCACAAGCTTATAAATATAATTGTAAAATAATATAATTTAGTATTCACTCCTTATAGTTACATGGAAGTCCATGTATATTAAATTTTTACAATTAAACATATTCCTAAATTTACTCACACAATATGAAGGTGAAGCAGAGCTTTCCATAGTACGCATTTTTTCCTCTTGGCAAGCATCAAGCAACTCTCTCTGAGTTAGTGCACCCAGTGCCATCTCCTGGGAAGGCTCTCTCTGGTCACAGTGAATTTTTTCATCAAAGCAGTTTCACTTAAACCTTGTTTTTGTGATGGCTGATTTAAGAAAACAGCATGCAGCTGTGAAATTTTGGTTCCTGCTCAAGAAAAATGTTTTATAAACTGTTGTGATGTTAAACACAGCTTAGAAGGACAGCACTATGGGAAAAACTCAAATGAACGAGTGATTTTTCTCATTGCAAAAAGGTAAAAGTTTGATTGATGGCATACTTCATTCTGGATGTCTCTCAACTTCCGAATGGACAAAAATGTCAACTCATACTGCCTTTGGAGTTTGTTCCACCAGGTCAGACTGTTAATCAAAGTTTCTATTTAGACCAGTAGTTCTTAACCTTCGTAATGCTGTGACCCTTTATTACAGTTCCTCATGTTGTGATGAGCCCCCCAACCATAAAATTATTTTCATTGCTATTTCATAACTGTAATTTTGCTACTGTTATCAATCAGGGGACTTCTGTGAAAGGGTCATTCGACCCCCAAAGGGGTAGTGACCCACAGGTTGAGAACCGCAGATGTAGTGGTTCTGAAAAGATTGCGTAACAGTGTGTGACCCAGAAGGCCTGATAAGGACTGATTTTGCCATCACAATGCACCTGTTCATGCAGTCATCTCAGTGCACCAGTTTTGGCTAAAAACAGCATGCCTCTCCTGCCACATGGACCTTACTCACCTGACCTTGCTTTGTACAACTTCTTTTTGTTTCTGCAAATGAAGAGGAACGTGAAAGGAGATCGATTTTTTTTTGTAATAAATCACTTTATTGGGGGCTTTTAAGACCCTTTTAACAATCCATACATCAATTGTATAAAGCACTTTGTACATATGTTGCCATCATCATTTCCGGAAGGGATAGCGATTTGATGACTTATAAGAGGTGAGGAAAAAAACACAAGGGAGGTACTGCCAGCCATCCAAACAGATAAATTTGAAAAACGTTTCCCAGAATGGAATCACAGATTTGAAAAAATGTATTAAGCGCAATGGAGAGTACTTTCAAGTGATAAAAGGGTGTTTTGTAAAAACAAAAATTAAATACATCACCTTGAAAAAATATGTTTTTTAAGGGGGTGCCCTCTTGTATACTATAGAGAAATACTTGATTTTATTTCCTTATCCATATGGCTTTCTAAAATTAGTGGGTTACTGATTTATTAAGAGAAAATAAACCTAGCCATATATATTATATTATCACCCACTATAAGACAAGAACTGTACTAAGCATAATATATTAAAATAGAATACAATGATCTTATCTTCAAAGGGCACACACCCTTCCTGTGAGTGATGAGGAGAAGGAGGAATGGTTGAGGGACATACTGTTTTATTTTAAGTGGTGGAGAAATACACAGAGTGCTCCTCAATTGTATACAAGGGGCACTTAACTTGCTCTTGGATTTTGGTGGATTGAAGAAGATGACATCATGAGTTATCCAAGTGACGCTTGAGAGTGAGGGTCAGTGAGTAGGGTAGGCAGGAATGAAATTATGAAGACCTTATATAAATTGTTAGAATATAAATGTGGGGCCTGTAAAATATTTTAAGGAGAAAAATGACACATTTAGAATTTGTTTTAATCACTCCAACTTCCATGTATAGACTTTGAAAAGGTTTTTGGTTTGTGTTTTATTGACTACAGGGAAAAACCAGATGTTCTTTAATAAATTCAAGAGAGAGAATATAATGTCCTTTATTGTCTATGAAAGATGTGTTGACCCTACCATAGACAACAAGGACTTTAGAATCTATCTTTTTGAGGTACACAACATCCTTGGCCACACCAGCAGGATCTGCTTTGGAATGCTGACTAAATGAATGGGGCTTTACCCTAGACACAATGGTAGCAGATTAAAGGAACTGACATACTCCCTGGGGCCAAGGGCTGAAATGCCCTAGTGTGAGAGGGACAAATGACTACTATCCAAAGGCAATGGATTCTTGCCTTGAGAATGCCCAAGAAATGGCAACTCAAAACTACCATACATATGATATTTTTATACCCTCCTTGCCTTTTTAAGACATGTTTAGTTCAGTTCTGTCTTTTTGAATGGGCATTACTGAAGGTGTTGCCTAATCTACAACCCTTATTGTGTGTGTAGTGTCCAATTACCTTAATTGTTAATCTGGACACATCAACAATCTATTTTGGTCTAAAAAACTGTCCTGCGCATGTTTACTTTCTTTTTCTCAATAGTGTTTTGTCTATACCAATGACTAAATTAATGGTAATATTAATACAATTACTATATGCCTCATGGAGATAATTTATAATGTTCTTCAAGAAAATAACCGTAATGTCTTTAAAGTGAACCAAGGGCATATATAAATCATAGACACATGAATGGGTTTTGAGCTTGCAATCATAGCCCTAAACTCAGAACAATTAGTTCTTATGACATGTCCCTGCTCAATACCTGTCCCCATGAAGTAATCACTGAAGATATGGGTGATATTGCAAAGTGTGGCAAAGAAAGCAGAGGGTGCATGGCGATCAGAAAGAATGAGTTCTGAGGTCTTAAAGACTTGTCTTAAAATAAGCAGGAATCTACGTGAGGTGTCACCTAAGGCCACATGGAAAAAGGACACCAGCCTACATGATTCAAAATTTTAAATAATAAAATCCAAACCCAGAGGACGGAACTGTATAGACTCTCTACTATAGAGCGTAAATTCTGAACACTTGGTTTGCAGAAAGCAATGGATGACAGCAAAAGCTGAAAACACATTTGCAGGGATCTCCCATGTGGATTAAGCTTCCGGTGAATTCCCTCTGACTATGGACCAGGATGGGAAAGGCCTTCCCTTCAGATGGAATACATTGTTGTGTGGATGACTGCAGTAGTAGACAGGTCAAATGTGACACCTTGTCATTTGATTTCTCTCTTGATCCCATGTATCATTGTTCCAGTTTTTAATATTTTCTACTCTTATTTTCATTGAAGTTTTTCTCTATTTGATTATCTCATTGTTGTTGGACCGTTTGTTTGTATTTTGTTTTGCTTTTGTATGTTCTTCTGTATATGAAACCCAGGATAAGTAAACCTGTAGAGACAGCAACTGGATTAGTAGGTCCAAAGGGCCGTGGCAGGGGAGGTTGGTGGGGAATGGGGAGCTAACAGCAAGTACGAGGAAGAAGAGATCGTGACATTGGTAGTGGTGATGATTGCACAACTCTCGTGAATCCATTGAATTTCTGAAATGCGTCTGTGAATAATATGTCATGAAACTTTTAAAAATAAATGACTAAATATATATTTTATATATATAATTAGACCCCCTTCCCCCGCAAAAAAAGATGTGCCAACTCACTGATAACAAGTGTGCCTGCTCCCCCCCCTTCCCTCCCTCTCCCCCTCCCCCCCTTAATAAAGTATCAACTGGTCCTATTAAGCAAAGATAACGAAAGTGATGAGATGGGGCGTGGATGTTTTAGAACAGGTAGAAGACTCAGCTTCTTCCCTGTCTAGCCAATGGCTGTATAGCCAAAGCCAGAGTGGTGGGCAGGTTCTTTTGAAGTTACCTCTGTGTTCACTTCACCTGTTAGGAGGTGAACGCACAGGAAACCTCTGTGTTCAAACCTCCTGCCCTCAACTTCAGTAAGTGCATTACCAGTGCGTTTGAGGTACGTTGTCTTTGTTATCCTTTCCCCCTCAATGCTTTCTTAACACAGTAGCATGCTTTAACCAGAGTTGAGCGGGGCATTTGCCCAGGAGAAACATGTACACACAGGGGAGGCTGACATGTCTATGCTGGCCTGTTCTTGTCACTGTGTTACTACATGGCTTTGTCTTGTCTAGGTACCTGAATGGCGTGGCAAAAAATGGAGCTGCCCCAGTGCTCCTGGAGCTGGCCAATGAGGTAATGTTGTTGTTGCTATTTTATTTAAACCTGTATAAAACCTAAGGGGCCTATCTAGAGTAAATTTGCTCAGCGTTGTAATTATAATTAACCTTAAAAAAAAGATTTTGAGTTGCGCTAGACATTTAAATTGCTCCCTGGCCTCTTTGTACTTTTAATAATTGGATGAAAGAACTTCATGTATTAATAAATCAGTTAACATAATTAGTCTCCTTCTTTTTAGGCAGATGTATACACGGTTTCTTGGTTTCTTATTTTGTTGAAATTTTCCATCAAACAGCTCTGGGCATGCTCCTCTTGGGCCGCATTGCCTTAATTTAGTGTGAGAAATGCCTTTGTCTAGTATGGAGGCATATGCCAAAAAAAAAATCAATACTGTTATAAAAATTAATAGAGACTATGTATATTTAAATGTAACGTTTACTTGATGCATTTGTTGTTCTTGTTAGTAGTCAACTTATATGACAATGGCATAGACACGCCTTGTAGAGAAGGCTCTTAACGTGGGAAAGTACAGTGCTCTTATTGACACCAAGTACGAGATGATTTATTGAATGTATTTGTTAACTCTGATCGACTCCTGTTTGGGGAAACAAATAATTGCCTTACATTTAAAACAGGAAACCCTAAAGAGTTCCCGTGAAAGAAGAAGCTGTAAAAAGTTCATAATAGTTGCAGAGAGCATACCAAAAAAATAAAATATTGAATTCCTAAACTTTAAAATATTTATCCACTGTAATAAGAGCAATACAATATTTAGTCTGAGTTGGAACTGCTTATGCAAACCTCATAGGGATGGAATGAAATGTACACTGTTTTTGTGTTGCATTATAATGGAAAACATAGAAGCAAGGCAGAAAATGTGTGTTTGCATTAAAAATGACTCGGTACTGTGAGCATTAAGTGTTGCAGTAGCAGCAAGTTCTACATGTTATATTAGCAAGGAGGGATGGCTTCCCTCACAGCTTCTGTCTGCTGTACACTGCAGCAGTCAGCAAATGAGCAATTACCTATCTGTTACTGGAAGGTTTTAATGGTCTAGGCAATATCTACACTATCTGATAGGATAGTTAACATATAGAATGGATTTTTCTCCTTCTCCTAGCAAAACATGTTTTTCTTTTCTTTCTTTTTTTTTTCTATTTCTGAAGCAGAGCAAGGAATGTTTTAAATATCTCCAATCTATTTGTTATGAGCTGCGACTGGTAGTAACGTGACATATGTGAGCTGTAAGAATTTAATGATTCTCCTTCATGGGAAAGACAAGTGAGCTAACAGCATTCTGGATGCAGTATCTAGAAAGAATATGGTGCACCGATGGTACTCATTCTTATAGTTGATGGTAGCAATGGCATGTGCTTTAGCCAGGTGCAATTCATATTCATTTGAATAGCTAATGAATATTTCTGTTGAGCTTAGCAGCTTTCACTGTCCTCCACTGCCATGTTAGAGTCCCATGAAAAATTGGAACCGACCCAACACATTTTCTCCTACATCCATAAAGATGCAATGTACATGACTATATAGCAATATTTAGCCAATGAAAAGAAATAGCTACTTAAAAATACCCCCAACCTCAGCCCACCCATGGGTATAGATTGACACAAAGCAGAGAATGCTTTCTGGAAGATTATTGATGCATTGGGGAAATTTGGCAATGGCTGGTACCAGATGATGGCTTCTAAACAACCAAGCTGCCATTTTTATATGCTAGTCAATAGTTAAATGACAGACTCTTGCGTCTGGTGACAATTCATGTGATGGTGATACTTTATGAGTCAATATATATTTAATCAGTAGAAAGTGTAAAAATTGATGAGAAGTATATAACATAGGTGTGTTTCAGTGCATGCACAGCTCTCTTAAACAAGAGCCCTGCATTGTTGGTGTGAGGGGTAGGGGTACTTGTGGTCACCGTCAGTTTTAGGAATGCCTTATGAATTTTCCTGTTTCAGGGCTGAAAGCAAACATTTAAAGATATCTCACTTTGTTAGCAGTAATAAGATCAGTCATTCTGCTCTCTCCACACAAATATTTTCAAGTGAGATTTGAAGCACTATGAATTTTACTTACATGCTATAGTCTGACATGAAGCATGATGGCCCTATTTCAGAGAAAGATGGACACATGATTAATATGAAAATTAGGGAGATGCAAGTACCTGAACTAATAAGGTAGTCCTTATTCAGGCTGGACTACCTTCAGTAATTTCACCATTTTTCATGTGTCAGCCTGATGTGGGATACTAGGAATAAGCAGCTTCGTGGAAAGCATTTCTTTCTACTTGGGGAATTTAAGGGCATCCAAGTACATACATATTTGAAAAAAACTGTTCATACAAATGAAGCTAGCCTTTTTGCCCAGTTACTAAATCAAGATAAAATTTGGGTATGAATATGGGACTTGAAAACCTGTCAAGAAAAATTCATGGTGATAATA